AGACTGTGTATCCGAAATTCGAAAGATATGCTCATTTAAAAATTATTTTGCGATACTGCTGTTGAATTGAATTTTATGGTTTAAGTGCGAATAGCATGATATTTAGTAAATAATGGTAACTCAGAAAACGTTAAAAAAAAAAAAAGAAAAGAAAAAAAAAAGAAAAAAACCACTCCTTTGGGCGTAATGTAAAATCTGAAAGCTTTCAGCTTTAGTTTTAATTTTATTTGTGAATTTTTTCCTTAGCTATCTTAAAGTACTTCTCCCTTAAAAATAGAGTAAATAAGTCACCCTCAAAGCAAGAACTTGTGTCTCATAATATTGACATTGCTGGAGTGCTCCCCACCCACCTGATCACGAAGTGATCTTATCATCTTAAAGAGGCACCCATAAAACCAAAAATAACTAACCAAGAAAAATATATGTTAGTATAAGAAAACAAAAATAAAGGAAATGTACATATATAAGGACAACACAAAACACTACCAAACAAACAACACATTGGAATTGACAGGGCACCACACATAAAAAACTAAAAATTAAAACCCTTTAAATCCCAAGTGTAATTAAAAATTTAAATTCAAGCTCCTAAAAATTACTGCACCACCAATAATGCTCACCAAAGTAAATCCCTCATACCAAAATGCCAACAACTTGCCTATTTTTATTAACAAAGCTCATTAGAATTTTTGAAAAATGCTTAAAATGTTTAAAATTCAAATTCTTAAAATCAAATGATACATTATTAAAACTTTTTCTAATAGTATCTATTAGCGGACAGTCCACCACGAAGTGTCTGGCATGTCCTGGAACACCACAATTCAAACATTATCAGGTTCAATGTTCCGTCTTACTTTCTTTGGGAACATGCAAGGACCTGACTCGGAACAGAGAGCTTACTAAAGCTATGTTCAATAACTGTGGGAAGTAGACAGGATACACAAGAAGGGTATACAAAACCCTTTATTTTTCTCTCTTTACAATATTTCCGTACTTCGGAATACAAAGACCCACTACTTGTGGTCTAAACGTAAGAATATAAAAAATATAACTAAACTCTAACTTGACTTTGAAATAATAAACGTGGAAGATTGGCCTTATATTAACAGGAAGCCGTATGTAGTACAGAGAACTGTTAACACTACAATACGTTTAAAATTATCAAGAGGATTAAACCTCTGGCCTGGAAGGCAACCAGCCACCGAGTAAAACTTCTAAGGTAAGCGGCCTGCTTCGACTAACTCCTTCCTCTCTCTCGCTTGGCAAAAAGCCACAACTTAAGTACTTGGCGTTCGCCAGACAAATTTTGCATAAATAAGTTAACGCTTTTAATTCTGGCCGGAAGTAGAAAATAAGAAGTGATAGTAAAGATTTAAAATAAAATAAACGTTAGTAAAACTTAAGATCCTTACAACATAATTCATTGTCTTGTATGTTAAACCTATTCAAGTAATATGGGAACCTCCCATGTCCCGTAATCAATTGATTCATATCTACATCATTGTAAAGAAACATTTTAAACAATATCTATGAGTAGGTTTTTCTTCCTATCAGAGTTTTCCAACAGTTCTTTCCACTCATTATTAAAATATTCTTTCATGAGTGTTAAAGCTACTCGTTTGGAGCCAGATATTTCCATAAAAGGTATGTTCTCTTTAGTAACAGCCTCATAATAAATAAAATTCTTCATAATATATAACAGCTTCATAATATATAAAATAACACATAATAATCTCCACCCCACCTCGAATGGCGGGTTTTAGTCGTTTAAAGGCGTTGGCCACTACTAAGGTAGGAAGCGGTGTCCTCTTTATTATGGAAACGCCTTGAAGAGTTATTAAGGTTTTTTGATGCAGGAGAAGAGAAAAATGAGCAATGCCTTCGCCGGGACTCGAACCTTGGACCTCTCGCATTCGCGCCGAGGTTGCTACCGTTACACCACGAAGGCATGCAGAAAGGAGAGAGAAAACGCATTATTTAACCCCCTTTTAAAGGGAGACTGGGTATGAGAGGACCCAATTGCCAAATCCGTTTGGTGAAGAATCATCCTCACCGACCTTTTAGTTCGGGCGCCACCGTAGAGTCATTAGATTATTTTGAAGCAGGAAACAAGCAAAAAAAATGAGCAATGCCCTTGCCGGGACTGGGACCTCTCGAATACGCGCCGAGTTTACTACCGTTACAAGCATGCAGAAAGGACCGTTACAAGCATGCAGAAAGGACCGTTACAAACATGCAGAAAGGACCGTTACCGTTACAAGGCCTGCAAAAAGGAGGAAGAAAATACTTTATAACCTACTGTTGCCTCCTAAACTAGACTACTGGAATTTTAAATAGTTTTTTCAAATTCTTGCTGTAATATTGCTAATTACCGTATTTTCCGGCTTATAAGACACACCTCCTTTTGTATGCCCATTTTTGAACGTTATAATAAATTTACATAAATAAATTTAGATTATAATAAATTTACACCATTTTAAATATAAAGTAATACTTTCTGAAAATACCCAATCTATCTGGGAAAGAACATCTTTTAGACAGATCCAGACACTCATCTCCAGAGCTCAATGAAGAGTCACTCGAAACCTCTTCTGAATCAACAACTGAGTCCTCATACAACAAATTGTCCTCTGTACCATCCAGTGCATTACTAATGCCACACTTTCTTAAATGATGTAACCACTGTCTTTGTTTCCACGGCATCCCATGAAGCTTTGACCCATTCACAAACGACGTACAAGACGCAACCCGTTTTTGAGACCTATTTTCAAAGGAAAAAAGTTCGTCTCATAGTTCGGCAAATACGGCAATTTACGGGAAAGGTATTCGTTGAGTATGCAAATTTGCTTCAGTTGCCATCAGCCTGACGCCACTTGATCAAAATTACTCGAAGAGGATCATGCTAAACACTGACAGAAAGATAGAGATGGCTCATTTGCCACTTACCTGAAATGCTACAAATAAATTTTAAAACACTGAATTTAGCCTACTGTATTAATCTGCTTATACTTCTAACAAATTCCCTCTCCCATTAGCAGTTTATTAGAGGTTGGCCACTACTAAACTCTGGTCTCTTTATTATGGAGGCACCAGACAGGTGGGCCACAGTTGACTCTTGTGGACGTACGGACAAATTACATCCACGTCTTCTCCGGGATTCGAACCCGGGCCTTCCGTACGGCAGTCAGAGTGACTAACCGCATTCCCATTTGGGCGACCCTCATAACGTGTCAAGTAACACAATTTCTGGTTAATCTTCGGATTATGGTAACTTGGCGATTTTTTGGAGAAAATTTGCCGACCAACAACCCTGCTACAGCAACCTGCTAGTTTTTTTTTTTTTTTTTTTTTTTTTTTTGGACGCCATTTTGTTTTCAAAAAGTAAAGGCATTTTTTTTTTAACTTAACATTTTTTTCCAACAATCTGCTAGCCGAATTACGCTTATGCTAGAACTTTTATGGAACAAAAGTGCTTAATCATGACGAAGATTAGGTGCGAAATTGGGAGAAAGTGCAGAATCGCCCACTGCTTGCTGCGTTTTCAAGAATTGCACATACACGGTATCATCCATGTACACGTCGACCTATTTTCACTTAAAAAAAAAATCCCAGAATTGCACAAAAATGGCATTGCGCACACTCTTGACTTTATCCATGTACACTGCTAAAGTCCTAGCTAGTAACCTTTATCGCCTTACCAAAATGTCGCCAAACTACCTGTTACCGTATTCCAAAGATTAGCCCAATTTCTTTTTAGTAGTTTTTCTGTTATACCTCAATTTTGGTAGAGGGTATTTAGGCCAACAAAATAATATTAACTTGAGTTTATGTTGCGAGAAAAAAATTTTATTTATGAAGTTTTAGATGAAATAAAGTTCCCCCCCCCGGGGTTGGATCCCAGGGGTGGGCAAGGTCGACTCATCCTTTGGGTCGGTAAAATGGGTACCAAGTTCGCTTGGGGACTAAACACTGGGGGTCCTGCGACAAGCTCACCACTTGTCCAGGGCATATGCTTACGCACCCTGGGGCCCACGGTCAAGAAAGTAGATTTCGGGGCACTGTTGGCCTTGACCCACTTGAGCTGTAGCGCCGCTGAGTTTAGTTTTAGTTTTTAAAGTTTTATACATTTCATTACAATTATTGGTATGTTGTTATTTATGCTCACTTGTCCGAGAATAACATCGGCCTGAGCTCAGAAAATTCCTCGTGGCAAGGAGCGCAAGATACTCCTGTCGTTGGCAACAGTCTTGAGCAGCCTTACAGGTTACAGTCGTATTTAGCTCAGTTCCACCCCTCCCCAAATTTTGATGGAGAAAACCCCAGGAGGGACGGGTCCGAGGGTTTCCCACCCCTCTTCCCTTCCACCAAACGAGAGGATTTCAGTTCGCCGCATATTTAGAGTGCCGCCCTGCCGCACCGACACTATTACGTTTACAAACATGCATGCCTTTTCCGGGATTCGAACACGGTCCCTTCGGATAATGCCGGACGTGATGCTGTACTGATTAACCATTAAGGTAAAGGGACAGTGCCCACGTCCTCCGTCACTTATCACTTCGGCACGGCAATTAGTGATGCTAACCACTATATCTTTTGGGTCGCCCGTTATTGATATAAATATAAGCGAGAAAATAAAATCCACTCATTTGTAATATTTTAAAGAACATACTTTTGGCTTAAAGAAAAGTAAATGGATTTTTTTAAATGTTTCATTGGACTTAACTCTTTCGCATTCATTAAACGCTTGTTTACTTTTGAGATTATGGAATTTAATGACCTGTTTGATAAATATTTTGTTTAAATTTTAGAACACACATTTTATTTTATTTTCAGGTTTTAAATTTTAATTTTAAATCAGAAGGAGGTAATTAAAAAAAAAACAGGATAGGATAACTGATATGAATTAAATTCAGTGCGATTCTTTCATATCAAGAGGCGAAGACAAAGAAATTTGTTTGAGGATATTATTTAAAATCTTCGTAAAATAATTACACTCAGAAAATCTTTCAAAACAATATCTTTATTTTAAACTCTGCAACAAATATGTCTTTACACGTGTACTTTTCCAAGTACGAACTTAAAAAAGGAAGAAATCACTGGTATCTTTGAAACTATGTTATAAAAATAACTTTTGATCTTCAGGTTGGTAAACAGTGTCTAAATAAAAACAAATTTAAACAGAGACACAGATATTTTTGGACATGTAAATTCTGTACATATGAACCACTTTTAATAAAGGGAAAAAGGCACATAATACTCTCTCGAATAATAAAAAAATAAACTCAAACACTGAGTTTTTCTCCTTTGTAAAAAGAATACTTGACTTCATCAAAATGATTTGAAATAAGTTCTCTCTAAAATGAAAACAAAGTACGTAAGTTTTGATTTTTCACTATCTCACTCATAGGCTTAGTAATACTCATATGGAATGGTAAGTTCGCTTCATTTTGTTCTTCAGTTAACAGCCATTGCACTTAAAAACAGGTTACAAACACAGTTAAAACAGTTTCAATGAATTCGAAAATATAACACTATTTCAAAGTTTTGGCCTTTAAAAAAAATATTGTAACTCTCATTGTTTTATATTCAGATTCTGAGTCATTTTCCACCATATTCTAACGAAATGAGAGCATTTACCATTATAAGAAAACGCAGAATAAAATCTCGCCATGCTGATTTACCACATTAAAAAAAAATAACAGTTTAAATATCACCGGTAACACTGTTGAAATGCCCACATATTTATTCCACTAGAAATATTAAGGAACTTATGCAGGACATTACCACCTGTCAACACCAAAAAGAACGGTTTCCAAAATTCACTGACATTCCAAGTATTTATTTTTGAGCACATTTTATTTTCATGATCAGTCAGAATTCATGTTGAAGACTTCATAACAAATGCTGTATAAGCTCATTTCTACGCTAACTTATAATGGACCTGAAAGCAGCAAATGCCTCACTTATCGTATCTCCTTCCTCTTCAGTTCCTAGAACCATTTTGTTGCTTCCAGAAGCATCCATTAATGGATTGCCATAGATGGATTTCTGACAGTCCTGGAAGGAGCTTCCAAACTGAGTATCTTCAACAGTCCGTTGACCTTGCTGATGACGTGGAGGGAATGGGGAAGATGATATGTTATTAGAATCGGTGGGACCAGCATTTGGTGCTGAATAAGCAGACGACCCTGTGAGATAACGATCCAACTCTTTACCATCTATGTCTCCGAAAATATCTGGAACAAAAGAGGTATCCGCGGAGTTCATGGCATTATAATTGGCCGAGTTACCGATACTGGAATTTTTGCTGATAGGAAACCCGTTCGTGTGATCACTGTTCTTCTGATATGCTTCTTGCGGAGGGAAAGAGCTGCTGTTATACGTAAAGTTCATGGACGACGCATTGGAATAAGACGTTGCAGAACTGTATGACGGCAAGAACTGAAACTGTTGCTCTGGGTCCGAGTTGCAATCCTCTACTTCTATTTTGACTTGAGGCGTTTGCTGGTTGGAGTACATTCCTGTAGCGCTTGAATCATTGGAACATGGGTTATAATTGCTGAGATGTTTGTAACTAGGTGAACGATTTTGTAAGGCACTGTATAGATGGCTAGTTGTTGGAAATGGACTGTTTCTTTCTGACATGGTAGTAGGTGGGCTGTTGATGGGTGACATGGAAGACGATGAATGATAGAAATCACGACGCTGAACATCCATTCCTGAAGAAACTTGGATCATCGTATGCTGGCCGCATTCAGACACAGTATAGATAGGATTCCCTGAAGCAGCAGAGAGTGCTTGCAACGTGGATGCTGCCAATCGCATAGGCAGACGGTATGGAGGTCGAATATCCTTTAGGTAGTTAGAAGTTCCACCAAACTGAGAAATAAGTTGAATCAATGTATTGTTATTGGATACTCTGCCTTGATTCGGTTCCCTTCTCTGCATCTGAAGGCGGTTGGAAGCTTCTTGTTCAGTTTGAGGTGGCGACATATCTGGTGTTGGTAATCCTCTTATATTACCATCAACCCGTTGGTTATTATTTTTATCTTGAGCATACTCGACACCCATACCCAGTTCTTTTTTGGGGAATTTTATACTATCATTATTTGGGCTACCATTAGGGGAGCAATCGGGTGTTTGGACGCCATAGAAATCACAATTCAACTGTTGGTTGTGGAAACCCATGCGATTTGCACTATTGCTGCTGCAACCATGTTGCTGAGGAGTGTATGACAACGGTGGTGTCTCATAAGATGGGTTGTATCCATTCTGGAACACTGAATGAGGAGACGCCCCAATCGAACCACCAGAAGCTTGGGGTACAGGAGGAGTCGGAGAACTTTTCGCAGGAGCTGCACCATTACCTCTTTTTGTGCTTTTTCTTCTTCGTGGTCTATACTTGTAATGAGGGTAATCTTTCTGATGCTGCTGTCGGAGACGTTCTGCTTCTTGAACGTATGGCTGCCTCTCTGCCGGCGTCAAACTTCGCCATCGCTTACCTGGAATAAAGAATTACAGTAATTAAAATAATTCAACACAACAAAAAAGATACATTTTTGTGTCAGTTGTATATAATTTAAGCAGTTAAAAAATAAATGGATTCCAACAATTTTTAAACAGGTTTTATAATAATACTTTTATGACAAATTTCCTTCAGTTACTCGGACATACGAACTGAAAACAAATTCTGGAGAGGCCACGGTCGAACATAAGAGATTAAAAAAGTTTTAATTTTTTTATTACTAATTTCCAAGGGGCAGATGCATTCGGCAAGGAAAATTAAGTATTTATTTACCTGCAATCAAATAAGAACAAATGATTCAGAGATTCTGCCATTCGTATCGAATTTTCCTCGAATAATATTTATATCTACGATAAAGATAATTTGGTTTGGAAATCATATTTCAAAAGAATTTTTATCAAACTTTGTTACAGTCGAAAATTGTGGTTAGAAATGACGAAGGTTTGGAGTATTGAGTATTTCCTTGTCAGTAACTGGACAACTACTTCTCTGAAGTGCACTGGGAAAAAAAAAAATCAAATTGCGTTTTTTACGTCTCGAATGCGCGACATACATATTAGATTTACGGCCCGGTGGCGCAGTGGCAAGCGCATCGCGCAGCAGCACCACAGGTCCGGGGTTCGATTCCCGGGCTGGGCAAGGTCGACTCAGCCTTTCATTTCTTGGTTTCCATCACTTGGGTCGATAAAATGAGTACCAAGTTCGCTTGGGGACTAAACACTGCGGGTCCTGCGACAAGCTGACCACTTGTTCAGGGCATATGCTTACGCAACCCTGAGGCCCACGGTCTAGAAAGCAGATTTCGGGCACTGCAGGCCTTGGACCACTAGGGCTGTTACGCCACTGAGTTTAGTTTAGTTCATATTAGATTTATTTATAACATTAGTCTAATATAGGCATTTTGACACAAAGTCGAACTTTTTCGGAAATGACATGCCCATTTTTTTCCGCATTTCGAGTCTACGACTCAAATTATGCCTAAATATTAAAGTTTGTAAAATTTGGTACGAAATTTACTGAGAAATTCACTAAATTTATCTTGGCCCGTTCTTTTCCGTTTGCGCCAAGAATAATTTACTTAGCGAACTTCTTAATTTATGGCAACCTATTTTCCTTTTTTCCGAAAAAGGCCTTCAATTCATACTTTCAAATAATTTTAACAAAGTGCGTTAACCACATTTGGCGTTATTATCGCTTATAACAAATATGCCAAATTTCAAAACGCGCCAATATATAAATTCACATATATCTCAGGAAGTTTTGAATAAAAAACTAATTTTTTGTAAGCATGCTTAGAAATACATCTACTTTAAGATGGTGGTAAAAATTTCATAGGTTATAACCCAATTTTTTTTTTTAAAAAACTGCTCGTGCGGTTTTTACAAAACTTGGCAGTTTGTCGTAATTTGAATTGTAGAATTGAAGTAAAAAAAATGACATGTCATTTCAGAAAAGCCCGATTTTGTGTCAAAATACCTACATAAGAAAAATGGCTATATAGAAATCTAATACATATCCTAAACCGCGCTTTTTAGAATGAAAAACACAAGTTGAAATTCGCCAATCGCCCCAAGTAGAACGGGAGATACAGAACTACCCCCCTTTTTTGCGTTTACAGCTGAATAGTTGTTCTATATATACAGTTTTATATATAGAACAGTTGCAAGAACTGTATATATAGAACTTTAAATATAGAACTGTTCTTATTTGCTTCGAGGACTTGAAGGTAAAAGTTTAAATTGGGTGCCCTTTGTCCTTGGAAATTCTTTTTTGACGCCAAGATCGGCGCCAAGAAGGCACAACTTGAAGATGGCCGCTACACAAAACCAAAATAAGAAGTCAAAGAATTGCACAAACTCTGTGTCCATGTACACATCCATTTGTTTTCACTTTTAAAAAAAAAACATCCTAGACTTGCACAAACTAGGCATTGCGCACTGCCTTAAATTTGTCCATGTACACATCAATCTATTTTCATTTAAATAAAATCAGGAAGCTAAAACAAAGTTAGTTAAAACTTTCATGGTAACCAGAAGTGAGGTTTCATCGCCAAAATTTAAAAAAAAAAAAAAAAATTGTTGCTAATTGAAGGGGCACCCAATTCTACACTAGAGCCGACTATAATAGGTTCTTGCCACCTTAAACAAAAGGCAGCAGAAAGTAACCTCCTGTTTCCACAAAAAAAAAAAAAAGGCGATTCCACGATTCCATAAGTGAGACATAATCCTCCGCGAAAGAATTGCGCATTAAAAAATGTAATTTTACATAAGATACCAGATCACGAGTGGGGAGAATGGATCAGACTTACGGCCCAATTATGAACTGTAGCAGCTTTAAATGTTCTTATTAATCTCTCGTGCATTTGAAATAATAGAATAATAATGTATTGGTTACTGGCAATATTGAAATGCAAGCTCGAGAGCCACGTGTGGCTCTCGCACGAAGAATATATTTATTTTATTTTTAAAATGTTAGAATACGTTTTCTCTTCTTGTTTGTATGTCGCCATTTTTAGTGTTAAATAATAATTACTGCTGTGTTCCATCAGTGGGCTTTGCTTCAAATTGCAAAAGAAGTATCACAGAGCATAGGAATTCAGTTTTCTCCCATCAGAGTGAAGCCCACCAGCAGCCGAGCGGTAAAGTCGCTGAACACTGGTAGTTCGGTCCGAGGTTCGAATCCCACGAACGGGCTGGCTGCATGGGCGTTTTCGTGGTTTTCCCCACGTGTAACGTGTATACGAGCCAGTTTTCCTTAGAAAGTCCTCCACGAAAGGCATCCCTTCCCTTAGGCAGATAGCCCTAGTGTGCTTTGCCATAATTAAATACACACAGACACACACACACACCCATCAGAATGAACTGATATATTTCAAGGAACAGTAACTGAGAGTAGGATAATTTCTCTTCTCCTACCACTAGTCTCTGCAGAATATTTTCGAACCAAGTGATTTTAAGAATAACCTGTTTGCTCCACGTAGATACGACTTTCCAAAATTTCCATATGTTATCTTTCTATCGCAGAAATTAAATTTTATATTCAACCAGGACCTCCAAATTCCCGTACAGTAATTAAAGAACGTAAATTTGTATGTTCTTTTTTTTCTGTCCTAGTTTTTTTTTTTTTTTTTTTAAATATAAAATTAAAAATAGGGAGAAAATGTTGAACTCTGTATTGTAATTTTTTATGCTTTTCTTTAAAAGTCAGATACCGAGCCTTAGAAATTACTGAGAAATATAGTACATAAAAGGTTACGTTAGGTTAGATTATTTAATTACGGCAAAGCCTCGAGAGCTGTCTGCCTAAGGGGAGGGATGCCTTCGTGGATGACTTTCTAAGGGAAACTGGCTCGTATACACGTTACAATGGAGAAAACACTCATGCAGCCAGCCCGTTCCGTTCACGGGATTCGAACCTCGGACCGAACTACCAGCGTTCAGCGACTTTACCGCTCGGCCGCTGATGGGCCTAGTACATAAAAAAAAAGTTACTAAATTACGACTCATAATCAGCCAGATGACAATTTTTTAAATAATCGCAAAATGAATTTTTAAGATAGTCGGGACATGAATAACACAAATGACCTATGAAAAGAACATTTCCACGTTTGAAAGAAAAAGAATTTTTTTAAATTTTACGTTGATTCTGGAAGTAATAAACAAGTTAATTGCATCACTTTGGTTATCTCTATAATTTTACTAAAGTTTGTGATAAAAATTAATTAGAATTTTTTAAGCTTTTTTTTCTCCGACCCGTCCTCAAAGTTTCTTTCATGAAGAACACGGTATTATTTAAAATGTAATAAGTTTAATAAGTCGTTATCATGAAACAGAAATGCGCAAAACAGGTAAAATGCACATTTACTTCCTTGTAAGGAAGTATTGTAATTACGAAAAATTCCGAATATCATATTTTAACGAAAATATCCATTTTGACCGCTATCGAATACGATTCAACGATGTTTTTGCGTGACATCTCTACGTAAGGACAGAAAAAATGACTTTTTTTTCCCTCTAAACGAATTATAAAACTGATTTAAAATGGTTTCAAAAGAGTTTTTTCGTGACGTCTGTACGTACGTATGTATGTATGTATCTCGCATATCTCAAAAACGAATAGTTTCAGAAACGTTCAAATTTTGTATATAGGACTGCTATAACATGTAGTTGTGCATTTCGTATTTTGGTTGCAATCGGCCGCATCAAAAGGGTATAAATATATATATCTCCAGCCTGTTACTCGGCTTGGTGAGCTCAGTTTTTATTCTTATATGTTAGTAAATTATGCATTTTTTCCTTTAAAAATGGTTGAATTATGTTGTTCTTATCGTCTGGTTAAAGTTTTTATGGCTGTAGTTAATATGCATGCAATAGTTGTAGAATTATGAACAATTTAAAAATTGCTTAAGTGCGGCTAATTTTTTTTACCATAGTAGCCATATTTGTTTACTTCTAAAATTTAGTAGAATAATGAATAAAGTCTTTCTGCACCTCAAGTGGTACCAAAAGGAAACTTAAGTCTGTGCACCGAAAAATCTGCCTTCTTGCCCGCTGGCCGAATAGCTTGTAGAAAGTATAATTTTAATTGTAAATTAATTGTAAAAATTAGTTTTTTTAAAAATTGTTTTAACTGTATTTGATATTTTATGTGTGTTTGATGTTTTAACTGCATCTGATATTTTTAATGAAATGTCTAATGTCTATTTAATATATGTCTAATGGAATTCGAGGAAATCAGTTTAAATGAATTGCAGCAAAAAATGCGTATAATTTAGTGTTCTGTAGAAGGAAGTCACGTGGTGTACATGTCACAATGGTTTTTTTTTTTTTTTTTTGACGAAGACCATTTACAAATTTAACCCAAATAATTTATGGCAATTGACTTTCACCGCTGTTTGCAAGATATGGAGTACTTAAAACAATCGCTGGAAACAATCTGCTTTTTGGTCCATTTACCTCCCACTTGTGCCTGCAACCA